AGAGATGCGGGGCACCCTGCGAGCCCCGAGAAGGACGAGGCATTGGCAAACCATGCCGAGACCCCTCTGTGTCCCCTGGCATGAGGGGCGGCTGCTGCTCCAGGCACTGTGGGGTCCGAACAGAGCTCTCCCCGGCTCGGAGGGGGCCCCGGCCGCCGCGCGCTTTTTTTTGGCTCGCCCTCGCTCAGGTCCCCTCTCCGGTGTTCAGGGAAGCTCCAGGAGGTCTCAGCTCATCTCAGCATAGAAAAAAGGAACATTTTGAATATGATGGAAATTTCTGTGGGATGGAAAGAACATTTCAGAGCTTAATTTCTCCCAGCTTGGAGAAGTCTGGGAAGGTATTTGGGGCATCAGGAGAATTTTTCCTGTCCTTTTATGAAGCCCTGCCTCGATCCCTGCCCTTACACTGCCAGGCACATGCAATGCTGTTTTCAGACTGCAAGTTTCGTCCTCCTAGTAGACAAAATATTCATATGCCTGGTCTCTCCCAAGAATATTTTTTTTAAGCAGTAAACACCTGAAATACCTGTAACAGGAAAAACTCTCATGCCTCGTTAGTTAACCACAGCACCATCACACGAGTGGGTGCGAGAGAACAGGATCCAGGGAGAGCAGGGGCGATGCAGGCACTGCCGCGGTACGCTGGAATTGGTTGGTAAGACATTCAGAAGACGGTGTTTACAGAAAGAAGAGGGATTTCAGAGTCTGGGAATGCTGGATGCGGTTAGCGTTGCCAGCTGAATACTTGACACTGCAATTTCCTGTTAGTGAAACCCCTGAGAGAAACACAACGTTGGTGACTTTGCTCCCCAGTGTGTTGCCAGTGCACCAGGCTCAGCCCGCGCTACCCAGGGCGGTCCCTCGTCGCTGAGCCTTGGAGATGCGGAAAAGCTTCTCCTCGCTCCACCACCAAATATAGTCGAAAATCAGAAACTTGAAATATTCTGCGAGGCATTTCTTCAAGCATAAGTCATGTTCTCAATAACCTCCGCTTCGTGAGCCTGTATCTGATGTCAACATCTGCAGTGATTAAGAGAGAGTGAGTAACGAGGAATGCATGGAATGGAAACTCAGCTGAGTGTGAAACCAGGAACAATAATTTTCTCTTACTCCGAACGCTCCTCTCCCCTCGGAGGGCCTTACAAACCCATCAGCTATGCATAACAATCCCTTCCTCCATGCCCCAAATCAGCCAGCTCCACGCTGGAAGGTGAAGCCACCCAGCCCAGCAGCTGAGGGCTGCAAAGGGATGGAAACCGCCAGACAGAAGAGGTGTTTGCAGACAGACGGACGGCCGCAGCGGGCAGGGATAGGCTCTTTAGCAGATGGGATACGGTGCTCCGCAGCTCAGACTGCAGTCAGGGTGCAGCCCCGCTCTGAAAAGGGCTACGCTGGCACAGGGGGAATTTTGTTTGTTGTCCTGGGAGGGTTTTATCGACTCCGCACAGCAGTGGTTAAAATTTGGCAGCAGAAGAAAAAGCACCATTTTCTCAAGTGTCACTGTCCCAGCTCCTCTGGCGCGCGGCGCTGCCTGAGGGCTCCCCACCTGGACGCCATTAGCCCAGCGGTGTTTAATTGCGAGAGCCGATCAGACGGCGATATTGGGAAACGAGGCTGCAAGGCCCAGTGTCCTTTTCCAGTTCAAACAAAACTGTTTTGGGAAGTACCGCTTCGGTGGGTTTGAGCTTTGATCATTGGGGGAGGAAAAGCCCTCGTCTGGTGGAAACGCTGCCGTACGTGTGAACGCTGCAAAAACTAACGCCAACCGCTTGCTGAGCTATTGTGTATGTAAGAAAAAGAGCAGTTAATAATAAATTAATAATGCCATCAATATTTCACAACTGGCAGCCGCGTGAAACTTGCATTCCTGGAGGATCTGCTGCGAGAGAGCGAGCTAGTGCCGGCAGAGCTGACATTTCATCTTTGTCGACTGCTGCCAGTGAATCAAAGAACTTACTTTTCCTGTATCGCTGCGCTCGCATAATGGCATCCCTTGTGATGCGCTGTAATTTATTGCCACTGTGTCCCGGGTCCCGGGAGATGAGACAGGCACTGGCAGAGAACCCACGCCAGCCCTGCGGTGCTTTGTGTCGCGGCACGGCCAAGCAGCGTTCCGCAGCAGAAACACAACGGAGCGAGAAGATGCGGTGGTTCAAGACTCCGCTCCGTTCCTCTGGGTTCCATCTCCTGAAATTATTTATTGGTAGCGATTCCTGAGTATAACAGCAGAAACACAACGGAGCGAGAAGATGCGGTGGTTCAAGACTCTGCTCCGTTCCTCTGGGTTCCATCTCCTGAGATTATTTATTGGTAGCGATTCCTGCGTATAACGGGAAGGAACGGCTAACGGCCTGGGCTGTAGCGTTCCGCCTCAGTGGCTTCTTGGCTGCGTCTCCCTGTCACTGTACAAGTCTGTTTTCTCCTCGTATTTTGAGGTCATTAGTGATCAGTTTGGAAGCATTCCGTTCACTGGATTGCAGACAGAGTCTTGGATTTTGCTTACTTCAGAAATAACACGTAGTTACAGCACAATGGCAGTACTGCGGCGTGCTCTTAAATATAACCTTCGATCGGCGAGAAAAAGGGGATGTCAGAAGCAATTGCTAGCAGACGCTCCTCTCAGGGAAGGTTTCACCTCTGCCATCTACCGACATGCTGCACAGCTCCTCAGTAAATTTATATCCCCTATCCACTCCTTCACGTAGTCAGATCCTGTCTGTAACTGTATATTCAACAAACAGTGCAAGAATTTTTAACATGCAAACTTCCAAGCAGATCATTACAGAGCTGTTGTTGGCTTGTTACTGATGAAATCAAGTGGGGGCAGCTGAGATAAATTGGTACCATTTAGCTGTTTCCAGCACTTGAAGACCGGCTTTCAAAGCTCAATGTGGGTCCCTGCAGCTAAAATCTGGTCCTGAACACTACAACATTTGGAAAGTGATTCAGGTAAAGGTGGCAGCTATTTAATAATATGAAGAAAATAGCCACATTGTAAACAACGTACAGTAAAGTAAGTGCTCTTTATTATGCAGTACATCTTTTTGTTTTGAAGGCAATCTAGCAGAAAATCAAAACCTTTTATAAGTAGCAAACATTTATATACTTTAATGAAACAGTGATCTTAGCCTGTGTGCACTGAACATGTGTCTTCAACCTAGCTAAGTCCTATAAAGGCAAATACACTTCAACAGGTCAGTCATTACACTAGGCAGGGAGATTGGAAGTCTCTTCTGCTTGGTGGTTAAAAGGCAGCTGTATTTTTTTGGGAAAAAATTGCCTTGCTTGATCAAAGCAGTTAAATTGCTTTCAGGAATCACCTCTTTCTGCTAAAACCGAATGTACAATCTATGGAGCGCTTCTGTCGCAGAATGTAAGAGTTAGCGAGAGAGACCCTGGAAAAATGTAGCTGTGCTGCTCTAATTACGTCCGTCTTTTTCTCCTCTGATTCCCAAGAGAAAACAAAATTAAAAGATCAAAATGTTTTTGGTTCTGAACTAAGATAACATTCTTCAATTCGTATATGCACATCAAATATGAAAACCATGTCATTTTTATTGTGTATGCAAACATACCCAGTGGGAAAAGAATGCAGTTTATGTTCCCAAACCAGAGGCCCCCAGCCTGCTTCCTCAGCGTGTCTTAACGCTGCCTCAGAGGAGCAAAACGCGCAGAGCTCTGCTGCGAACGCTTACAGGTCCCCCCATCCATTCCATAAGCTCATTCAGCTGGTGTGACATGTATGTCACTCGCTTCTCCCACAGCTACTCCAGCTCTTACTGGAATGGAAATTTAAGAAATAATTGGACACTGCTTTGCAAATGTTTAAAAAAAGAAAAAAAAAACCCAACCAGCAGGAGTAGAGCAAGAGCCTGTAAAAGAGCATCAAACGGTGTTGCTGTTGCTTCTCATGGTCAGGTACAGGATTTCTTTATGGAAGTTCGCTTGTGCATTTACAAGGTGAAACAAATTCAAAAAGCTGCTGTCCTCTTCATCACGATCCCCTACCAGGGCAAAGAAAAACATTTTAAAATGATTAGTGAAACTAAATGACTTCTTTGAAGATAAATCTTACTCCTTTGGTGTTTTCAGCAGAGGCTGAACCAGCAGCCTCCACTCAGATTTATGAGGCACCAGCTACTGCACCTGATGGCAGGACAGCTGTGAAATAACACAGGAGACTGTCTCCAGAATTCCTTCACCAGCTTGTCCAAAGACGGACAAGAACAATTGCGCGTTAAGACAAAAATCTGTCCTAACCGAGCTTGCCATCACAATCAGTCTTGAGGTTTTATCAAGGCTGACAAGCTGTGGACAGGGAGCAACTGCAGCTTGTGGAGTTGAACAGGCTGGCTGGCAGCTGCTCGGAGCCTGCGTTTAGACGCAGCCCAAAAGGACCTCAGGCCTAAGGCTCTGGTGGGACGTATTTTAAAAGACTGTTGGTTTCACCATCCATGGCGCTAGGAATCTCTTAGACGAGAGAGATCGGTTAAAACAAATGTCTCTCCCAATTACGACACTTGATTAATTATTTTATGTTCTCAACAAACTTCAGGCACTCCAGTATTGTTCTGCCTGGTGAGGCAGGGAGGAAGGACAGGCTGCGGTGCCACGCTGTGTTGCCTCACTCAGTGCTAGCTCCCGATGAAACAGCTCGTCCTGGCTTGCAGACCCACAGGCTTACCGGACAGAACTGCCTGTAGCATGTCCATGATCATGTGAGCGAAGGCGTTCTCCACACACTGCAGGAAGTTGGTTCTCTCCCCTGGAGTGCTGAAAACTTTGCAGACCTTCTGCATCATTTTTACTGTCCAGTCCATGCAGTACAGGTCCTTCTCGCAGACCTGACATACACAGGAAATATTAGAAATACACCTTTTATGATGAGTACGATGCTATAAAAAGCAAGATTAAATCTTAGAATTAACTATTGATTCTAACGGATCGGTTGCAGCCGTGGCCTGGAAAATTAGGGTTTGTTACAAGGACATAGAGGTTGTTCTTATTGTTGGCATGCTAATGGAGGAACTTCTCAACATCTTGTTAGTGGTATTTCTCTTCAAGGACGGGCTTGCTACCTTACAGAGATGTGCTGGACAGGGACCAGAGGGTGGAGGAGTACCAACTCTCTTGCTGGACTTACTCCTGGTTTGCAGGAGTAGACAGGGAAACAGCTTTCAACTCTGAGAAAGCAAATCCAGGGGTAGGGAGACAAAAGGCCTGAGCCTGCGCCGTTCGGTGGTACTCACCAAAGCCAGGAACACCACGAGTCTGGCTAACTCAACAGTTCTTCCATTCACAGCTTTACTGGCCATGAAAGTGAAGCAAATGTTGTTTCCACTCAGAATAAGAAGCCGAGCATTGTTCTCCATGAGCCACTCCCGGGGAACAACTTTGTAATAAACCAGATAGAATTTTAGTGCTCTTTGAACAAAAAGAAAGGAGTGGCACAAAAACTATTCTGGAAGACGTGAATTTATGAATTGTTGGCTTTGATAGCTAACCAGAATTTGTGAGGGGATACCCTCTGGAATACAATTGCAGCAATGAAGTCATATAAGCAGTTCCTACCGGCAATAGAGTTAGAGCTCTTCACAATAGCTTCCGTGATACAATCTCCCCCCAAACTAACTTTCAATGTAGCCGTTAACATTGCTCAGTAGAATTTTGGCTTGAACGAACATTGTGTTTTCAGCTTATGCAGCTTCAACGATGTTTCCTTAATAACAGCTAGACAAGACTTGAATTTTAAAGGTCTGCATGGATTCTGAAAATATTTCACAATGGGGAAGGACAGCCTGAATCTGTAGGCAGTGCTGGGTTTCTCTCACCCCCAGCTACTGCCTGGCCTCCAAGTGTAATGACTTTTCCAGTTACGCCTCAGCTACTGTAAGGAATATTACAGTCAGTTTCCCAAGGCACCTGTGCATCTGAAACACACTTATTGCCAGATTTGGAGGACATGAGCATATAATCCTATGGATTAATGATAAAGGCAAAAACACACCTGACAGCTCATCCACAAGACTGATAATGTCATCTGCTGTCCATTCTCTAGCTTCTGTGTCATACAGCAGTTTAATTGCATCTGCTAGACCTTTCAGACTGGTCTCATCTGTCGGTCCTTCTATCATTTTCTGCCAAACCACATGTCCTGAGCAATATATTAATCACAACTGCTATTAAGTGACAAAGAAATTTTTTCTTTTTTTTTTCTTTTTTAAACAAGGAAAGTGCTAAAATGGGCCCTACAGCAGAGTCAAAGGAGGGGAATTCAGGTAACACAACTCAGTCTTTGTGACAGTGAGATTTTTCCCATCTGTCATTTTAGTAGGAACAGTGGTATCATAGAATACCAGGTTGGAAGGGACCTCAAGGATCATCTGCTCCAACCTTTCTTGGCAAAAGCACGGTCTTGCTTGGTAGTTGCAGCATGAATCGAAGGGCGATTTAAAGAAATCCAGGTCTGATAATTAAGTAAGAAAGCATGCTTTTCTCCAGGGAAACAGATGCTTCTTTCTTTGAGGTGCATTCAAGCTAGCTCTACCCTAAGCAGGGGAGAATAGCGGAACAGAGGTGCAAGTTCTTCACCTGAATTGTAACTTTTTATATATATAAATATATA